AATGCGAGTGCATTTCAATTTTTACAGAATAAATTGCCACACGTGTTCCAACCCCAGAATGGAGGGCCAGGAGATTGTTCGTCGTGCCCCTGACCATTGATAAACCTGGTATGACTATGGGTGTCGCACGGACACCTCCAGTGTAACTCTTTAGTTCGCGGAGGCGCACAAACCATCAATGATGAGGTTCAGTGTCTTCGGATCCTCGTCTCCTGTCTCCGTTCGTACTACTTGAGTTGGCTTTATTAGAATGCATCGTGTGAAATATTAACAACATTGCTGGTAGGAGTCGGTATTCTGAAGAACTAGGTTTCGGATATACTTCATTGCACTTGAGTCTTGCGCAACAATTGCATTTGGAGTCCTACATCGATTCTCAGAACTAGGTAAGCCGTTCACTTCAGTGGGTCAGACTATTGAATCGTTGGTTCCCACAAGCGTCACCCTCCTACAAAAATTCTTCGCGCTTTATCCATGTGGGTCAGTCAGGGTCGCCCGATAAATTCCTACTTCCTGCCGTTATTTCGTGAGCCAGCTTCTTTGTTTGAAGGGCATCGCAGACAGATCACCGGCTTTGACGGATAAATATTTGCATCCACGATCCTATGGATGCGTAAGCCAGCAGTCTTTGTTTATTATCTATCTACCAAGTTCTTCTCCCCTACCGTTTTCCGCAGAGGGTAGTGTACTGGTATTTGTTACGCGGAAGACACACAGCGAGGAGGTGGCACGCAAACTGAAAATGCGTGATCTCAAGGTCCTACTAATTCACGGTGATATGCATCAGTCCGAACGAAACTCCGTGATTCATTCGTTCAAGCGTCAAGAAGCACCTATTCTAGTTGCCACAGACGTCGCTTGTAAGTTTTTGTTCTTCTGTGTTCATCCTTTATGTTTCGTTCTATTTTCCTGATGGGAACCCATCGTAGACCAAATATAGTCATTTAGGCCTAATTGCATCCAGGCTTGTTGGGCAAATCGTTCTACTGGCCTGTTACTCAACTTCACACGTGGACGATGTGGTCTGTCGCTTGCAATTCATCAGAATTACCAAGCCCTGGTCATGGTATTCGTTATGGTATATCAGATCTTCTCATTGCTATCATATTCACCAACGGGAGCCCCATAATGAGAGAAAATTAAGGATGTC